AATCACGAAAACGAATAATCCAGGCAACAAGGTTATAGATGCCAAAAGAATTTCGGATTTAATAAATATTTTAAAGCTTTGTTCACATAGGCATATGTTTCATATACAGGACACCCCCTACTTAATTATTTAAATAACCACAACGTACATTTCTCAAAATTAAGCACTCCCACGTTCAGTAAGTCAAATGTATCAATCGTTAACCTTCCTTTCTCTTTAAGATAATTTTTTATGCCACCGTAAACAAAGTTTCTGGAGTATATAAATTTTGGCGTGTCCGCCCGTCTCTCTCTCTTCTGTTTCAAAAACTCTGTTTAAAAATGTTAAAAAAATTTAACCTTGGCCATAACTTTTGAACGGTAAGGGCTAGTGCTTTCATACTTCACATATGTGATCATCCTTGTGAGAAGACCCTTTATTGGATAACAAGAACTTTGACCTTGACCTTGGAGTTTTAATAACTTTTATAAAGCAAGCCTTGACTATAAATTTCAAAGGGTAAGGTCTATTGCTTTCATACTCTACATATTTAAGGTAAGGTTTGCGTTAACAGGGAGATAACTCTTGCGAATCACCAAAGCGTTTGAAACAGGCGACTTTAAACCAGCGATGCTAAGCATCTCGGTAACGAATTTCCTCTGTCATACTTGATGTTTGTTGTCACTTATTGATAGGACTAAAAACAAAGGACGTTTTCAGGAGAAAGTCTTATAACAAAACAAAGCATAGGAATCTTAGAAGCCTTTGAGATTAGCGTGATGCATGTGGATGAACCAATAAAGGAAGACTTGTTTTTTTTCGATATGGAACGTAGCAAGTTGCACGACCATTCCGATCAGAAGAAAGTCATTGACGCATTGTGCTGTTGTGTATTTCTCGCTTCACCACTACACTAAAATTTTAAGTGAGAATGGGAAAGAAAAAAGAAAAGACGTGAGAGTATCCTGTAAAGTATTATGCTATATGCAGTCCGAACAGGGAAGAAAAGTCACGGTGCATTTGACCAAGTCCAATGATGATGTTGACAGTTTGATTGTTGATAGTATTTTCATCCGGTAATTATTTAACTATTCATTTTACTGAAAGTTATGAATGATCTACTGACTACGGATTTAAAAATGATGAATAAACAGTACAAGGATGTCAGGATGTGATTAATATCCCAACATTGCCAAAAAATAAAAATGCATTCATTCAAGAAATTATGAAAAATAAAATCCTTGCTTTTTGGGCCTAATATTTGTAACATTATTGGAACAGGTATTAAATTGTTCAAGTTACCTTTTTAAATGAGGTTTGATTTAATTAATATCTCATTTTCTAATTAATAAAAAAGAGATACAGATTGTGCATGACAAGAACATTAATTTTCTTGATCAAGCATTTATAATTTTATAATAATTTCATATTGATTCTTCATTTATTATATTGGAAATTTATTCATTTCATTGAGTGAATGAAACTCAGTGCAATTCCTTATGCTATTCTTTAAATGTTATTGTAAAAATGAACACATATGATTTCAGATCATGGGTCATTAATTGGAATAGATAAGACCCCCCCAAAAAAGTACTTCAGTGTTTCCATAAAAGATTTGTGCCATCAATCAAAGTAGAGGTCATCCCATATCAGCTCAAGAATATTAAAGAAAGTTAGATGGATCAAGGTAAGAAATTTAACCAGACATGGCAAAATCAATGGAGATTTGGAGAAGAAATTCTGACTTGTTATACCCAATGCATATTTTTATATGTCTATAGATTATAGAAGAAAATTTAACCATATATTTAGAAAATATGTGTGTGATGATTGCAGTACAAGGAAATTAATACATGAACAATTAAGATTAATATTTTTATTCATTAAATTTCGTTCTTACCAGGACCTAATATGCTCAAATAAGTATTTCTGAAAACTGATGAGTTTTTACATACATGCAAAGCTGCAGTGAACATGTATAATTATATCTACTGTAACAGTTTAAAACATGACACTGGAAATTGTAAGGTTGTTAATTTAGTAGGAATGATAGGAACAGTTTAGTAATCTACTAAAATTAAAATCTTTCACAAATACATGTAGTTTATTTTAGATTGTTTACATTTATAATCTTTTAATTTTTTCTGTATTTTGATTTTAAAAAGGAGAAAATTTTGTTATATTTAAATTATTATGTCATGGATATCAAGGAGATATACATGTATCTATTACTGTAGCATTGTTTCTTTTTCCCTGTTCTTGACAAATATTTATGACAGTGTTATGTCATTTTGCAGAATCTTTGAAATCATAAGTACTCTGTAAACTCATTAAAGTATGATTGATGTCACTTAGAATTCATCTTTATTTTGTTCTGTCTTATATTTCAATTTAGATTCTCAGACTACCTAATCCAATGATTGAGCTAATGTCCATGAAGTGTAGAAATAGGTCATCTTTAAAAAATGTTTGTTTGTCGGCCTCTCCAAACCGACTGACTAAAATGACCAGACTGAAAACTGTTTTTCAATGCAGGGCCGTATTTTTTTTTCTTTTTATTCCTCTTATCCCCCTTTAAAAAATGTTGTTGAGGATTTTCTCACCTACTGATCCCAAAATTTTACCTTGAGTCAAGAGACTGGGCAAACCAACATTACTTTAAAGAGAGCATTTCTAGAAATCATTTAATTATAAAAACAGCAGCTTCGTGGATGCGATGCTTACAACATTTCACTCAAAAAATGGCATACATGTATAATGACAGTCACCAGCCATAACTGAATAAAGATATTTGGCTACAAAGATGTCTAGAAATTACTACATGTTGGAATAACTAAATCAGCATGAGGTCAAATTCATAGGCTTTTAATTGGTTTAGTTGCAACATGTTCTGAAGTATGTTTATATACATATACATGAACTTCTAAAGGTGTTGCAGACTTGCAGTATAATTCATGGACAATTTCATCAGAATATTCAGATGTAAAGATAGCCATAAATACTAGAGTTCTTCCATGGAATAAATTTTTAGACCATCATGTAGCACAGAAGGAGTTTTATTTTGAATATTTTTGGCCAATTTATGCCTAAAAACAATATCAAAAATAACGTATAGTCTTTAACATTCACCATGACAAGGTGATATCAATGTTGCCTTTAAAAGTGTAGAAAAAGCCTGATTTTTATGTTCCGAACCCATAATATAGCCCCTGTTTCCATGGAAATAATATTGGGGACATACATATTTTTTTAGTTCAAATTAATGAAAATGATCAAATTAATAACTTCATGGATTTTGATGAAATCGGTAGATATATAAAACGTTGATTTTTATATTTTTGTTACCATGGCAACGGTTTCACTTTATCAAGGAAAATTGAAAAATCTTCTTTTTTACCCAAATTTTCACATTTTTGATAACGGAAAATTAAAAGTTTAAATAATATAAGCATTAATTATACTAATTCAGGTCATTTTAATTATAAAAGTTTGATAATTAATAAAATAAATCAATTTTTTCAATGAAAATAATATTCGAGGTGAAATATGAAATACGTTAAATTTGGCGTCTTTTACTAAAAAAATGGGACGGGCAATATCTTTGAAAATCATATTAAATGATGAAGCTAATCTCCCTGAATAAATTGATATATGGCATGTGTGCATATTAAAAAAAATAAAAGTTGGAGGGAGACGCAAACCTTACCTTAATTCTTGTGACAGGACCTTTCATTTGATATTAAGTAATTTGACCTTGGTGTTTGGCCTACTCTTTACCATTTTTAACTTTGACCATAACTTCTAAACGGTTGGGGCTAGGGCTTTCTTACTTCACATATGTATTTCTTGTGGCAAGACCTTTCATAGGATACAATTACGACAAGGTTGACCTTTTGACCTTGACGATTTCCATACTTATGAAAAAACTTTAAACTTAGCCTACTTTCATATACTAGTACATTGTATCACATTGTATTTCAGGTACGAAAACCCTACTTTGGGTACCAATATATTAAATTTCATTTCGGAAAAGTTTAATCTTCGTTATGTTGCCATACGGTGGCATCAGTGGTTCACAAACACATATTGTTTTCAACAGTGGTTAACAACTTGGTTTTCTCCTCTGTCATCTACTTTAACGAGATTTCGTTTTTATTTCATGTACATTTCAATGAAAGCTAGTGATGTTTCTTGTTCATATTCTGACTTGTAAGCCTGCAGCTTAAAGTCGAATTGTTCACATTTTGGTATCTAGTATCTTGATAGGAATCAGCTGCAGTCATACAGTGATTTTTTAAAAGCGTACAGTTTTCCAACATTATATTTTTTCTTCTCTCATCTATAAAAATAACATTTTTGTCGTAAGTTATTTAATCAATCTTTTCTGCATTTCTTTATTTTATAAGAATTTTCTACTCTCATGGTTCCCATTGATCCTTCAGGCGTCATGGCAGAACTTTTATCATTCAGAATACCAGCTGTCAAAACCAGCTATTATATAATGTTGTTGAGTAGTCCAAATAGCTAAAAAGGCTTTGATTCAATGTTCATTCTGCCACCTTGCAGATTTTTACTATGTGCAATCACACAGGTGAAATATGCTCACGATTTCTTTGTTTTAGTAAGCACAAGATATGTAGTTTAATTATGCACCAAATTACAGAATAAGAGAATTAATAATTCAATACGAAGCAACACCAAAGTACGTCCATAAATATACAAATAGACAACTTAAAATTAATTTACTGAAAAACATAAATTTGATCGACACTTCATAAAGATGCATATGAAAAATTAAAATAACAATGTGTTGCAACATGTATATTCATAAAGTTTTAAATAAATGTTCATATCATCTAAGGAATGTACATAAGGGGCATGACTGACCTTCCTAAACAAAAGAATCAGTGTCACAGTTTAAAAATCTATCATTGATTTTATTCAGATAATGCATAGAACTCTTCTATGCATATCAATACTTCAAGTATGTATATCTATTTCAAGTACACATGTACATCATTTTACGCAGTTGTCCGTTTAACCATCAATCGCATGGATTTAAGCGAGTAATAATACGTTCGCCATGGTTTGTACACAACACCCTCAGCAAATATGGTTGTATTTCCCGCCAAATAGAGACCGTTTGGATTGGAACAATGGCACGCATTGTGCCACCAACCGGATTTGAACTTGGTTGCGCAGTTTTGATGGTATAAGTCGTTGTCTTGATCCTTTGTGCTGAACTTCATGTTGTTTAGATGGGCGGCCGGTACTCCGGTCAAAAAGCAACCAGCTGCAAATAAATCAAAGGTAAATTAGGTAATTTTGACCTATACATAACGACAAAATGGTCATACGACTCCCTAGTCACACGAAAAATTAAAATTCAAAGTGCTAATTGTTATAATCTAATTGATCTTCCATGGAAAATGAGCTTAGCATATATAATTTATGGGAACGTTAACTTTAAATATAGTTGGAACATGCATGAAAATTGATAAAAATTTTAGCCCATTGAATCTTGAATGGAATGTATAGGAAATTGTGTTAATTAATATAGTTCGAACATATCAGAAAATTGATCTTTTTTCTTCGACCAACCAGCATCTTCAATGAGTTTCAATGAAATTTACATTATTTTTTCTGCAATTTAATAACATGATAAAGTTGAGTTACATTAAATAAATCTCGCCTCAGTTGTGTTTGTTGTTTTACGTTGGAATGTTTACTCTTATGTAAAACTTGATACCCACAAGGGACTCATCCTACATGTACCCCTTGTGGATCAAGATTACATGTAAAACAGACATGAACCTACTATACTCGAGTGTGCTTCCATATCAATAAGCCTAATAATTGTGACTAAATTGATCGCGGGGAGATTTTTTTTTCTTGTATAATCCTATGATAATTGTAATCCCCATTATAACCCCCAGTGGTTAAAAATAGAGCAAACTTAAATTTACACCACCCACAAATGATTCGATATCCTTATTTGAAAGAGGATGTGGCGCTTCATTTAAGAAAACCTAAACCCCTTTACCCAAGAACTGGCCAAGTGCTTCTTAAAGAAGTTGAAAATGTGAAAAGTTTACAGACAAATAGGCAAACAGTCGGACAGGCGGCAGATATAACGTGATCAGAAAAACTCACTTAATTAAACTTCCTTAATCAATTTAACAGAATACATACCTACGTCGCCCGAATAGCCGGAAAGTGAAATTGCATATTTTGAGGCTTCGTCACCGAGAGTGATACTGGAGTATTTGATATAACGTGTTTGGTTGTCGAAGTCCCCCATGTCCATTCTCATCTCGTAGGAACCTTGACTAAGTAGACGAGACAGCTTCTCATTGCCTACCAAGAATTTAGAAAATAAGGTACATGTAGTTGTGGTCAGAGGTCCTGCATCTGATCCACGCCTGGCAATGGGACGTACCCCTCACAAAATCCAATCGGTTAATTTGGGGCTAGTTATTTATTATTGAGAAATAATAATCGATTAGGACGTTCACAAGTTAACATAAAAATTTATTTGTTAGCCCAGGTGTCTAAAGTTTTTATCCTCAAAAAAAAAAAGGAATT